TGAAAGAACTTCCAAACAACTTGCTACAGCGCTCCTTCTTCTTTTAAGCTTTCCGCTTTGGCGTTCCAGGATGCAATTTTTCTTTCTGTCTCCGGCCTGCACTCACTGCTGCTCCTCTTCCTCGAACTCGATGTAGGTCTTACGGATTCTCAAGTGACCGTCCTCTTCAGGCGAGAGGTCCCTCAGGATGCATTTCCGTTCCATCTAGTGCACCGAGATCCACTGCTTGTTCCGAGCTTTCAAACAGGTTTTTCTGCTTCTTTGGTACGTTCTCAGTACGCTTCATACGACTTCTCGCACTCTTCTGGCATTACCATGTTTCCCATTTCTTCCATGGTTACCATCTTTTTCCACGAAACTCGACGTAATCCCAGCCTTCTTTTCTGAAAGCCACAAAAAGTAGTTGCGTTGCAGTGTAGGATTTAAGGTGAGTAAGTGAGCCTTGCTGTAATCCATATGTGCACCCAAGACTCGGAGGTCTGAGTGCACTCGCGCTCTTTACCTGGCAAAAAGAGAAGCGGAGCTATATGTCAACAAAGAGTCGTAATTCTTTTCGTAGAGCAACGCGGCATGGGAAATCTGGATTCGAAATTGTCCGCTTGCAGAAAGCTAGAACAGGCAGACTCTACTGATCCGCTGCAATTTGATTCGAGATTGTATGCTGCAGAGTGTGACGAGGGAACCTGAAAGAGCCCAGAGGTGACAGGCAAATGCGGAAGACCTCTGAAATCCGAGGTTTGCAGAATGCTTCTGCGCAAAAAAGACACGCAACTCCAAGACTTCCATTGCACGATGGAACTGAATCAACGAGAAAAACGCTTGCAAACATGTGAACCTTGCAAACAGAACTTTCTCACACTGTATCACTTTTTGCATCGATTTTTCAGTATTTATTCTTCGCATCATGACTGGCTGTCACCAGGCCCGCATTGTTTTCGTCTCGCTGCAAGCACTGTGCACCTGCAGTGTTGACCGAGTGTCTCTCAAGAGTTGCTGCTGTTGCTGCAGGCAGAACTCCATGCTGTTAAACCATGGGAACCCATTAAAAATGCTGCAAAAAACTAGGAAACCCACAGGGAACCCAGCTGACATGCTGCAAAAGCCAAGTATGAAACTATTGAAACATGGTGGAAGGTCCCAGACATGCCGGAGTCAATCAAACTCAGTTGGCAGCTGAGTATTATTGAAAGCATCCCCGCGCAACACAGACCCGTGCGAGCCCCGCAGCAAGTCGCCACTGGAGCTCCCCACGATGGAAATGTCCTTACAGGAGTCGCAGCGCTCCCACAAAAAGCCGGTAGCCAACTCCGCGTATGGTTCCTGACAGCCCATCATATCGAGCGGGCTCGATCGTTCTGTAGAACTAGCGACGCTCGAGCAACAGTGGACGTCGTTCGAAGTCCCAGGACAACGAGTGGAGCCAAAACCAAGCTTTGGCCTGCCGGACCAGCAGGTCAACTCTATTGTCTTGTTTTTTCGGCAAATTACACCAAAATCGATCCAAAGTCCAAAAAGCAAGACATTTTCGCGTGTTCACGTTTTTTTTGATAATTTTTCGCTTTACACGGCACAGAGCCAGTGCACGCTCCGCGCTGCGGAAATTCGGCAAGTTTGCATCAAATTTCGCGCGGAAAGCTTTGTGGTTTACAACCACGATGCCACACGAAATCGCTCAAGAAGGCTAAAAACGAATAAATGGAGTGCCCTGAAAATTCGAGACACACAAAGGCATGAAATCGTTTAGCGGAGTTCCTGTCAAGAGCTCAATGGGGGGAGACTGAGAGCGTTCCACGCAAAAGCTATGAGTCACAAGCAAAAGAAAATTAATGTCCGTCTGTTCTTCAAAGACTTCCACGTTGAGCACCAGGTTTTTCGAGACTTGGATTTGAAAACCGTCATTTCAGAAACCCAGGTTCCAACCCAGGTTCCAACCCAGGTTCCAACCCAAGGTTCAAACCCGGGTGGGTTGAATCTAGGTTTGAACCGAGATTGTACCTGTCTTCCCAGATTCAATTCAAACCTGGGTTTGAGTAACTCCGTCTTTGAAAATTTTTTGAAACCTGGGTTTCGGAATCCAAATTCAAATTTCCGAACCCTTCAAGAAACAGTTTCGACCCACCATCAAACCTGGGTCCAATCCTCCCTCTGGGACTTGCCGTGAACAGACGCCTTCTTCAAAAAAAAAAATCTGCAGCACTCGAGATTTCCTTTCATTCCATGCAGCACACGCCAGATTTGCTTGCTGCATAGAAACCAAATGCTCCGTTCGCAAAGTTCGCTGTTTTCCAAACGCATTTTTTAAACACAAGTCTTCTGAAAAAAGAAAAACAGCAATCAGGGCCACTACAGTTCCGCTGTGGTGAATTCAAATTTCCGGTCCAAGTGCACAAAATTTTGGAGAGCACTGAAGTCCATTCAGCGAACGAGGTTTTCCCAGCACAAATTGCGCAAAGGTCTGGGCTCCTTTGGCTCTTGCAGTGTGTCAGCTCGGTTCCCTGTGGGTACATGTGGGTTCCCATGGCTTCTCGCGCATTTTGTTTCAGAGAAGAGTAGAACTGAAGAAGATGTTCAGGACAGTGGCTGCAGGTGTGGCCCAGTTCCATCGCACATCTTGCGCTGCATTTGGATTTGCTGCTGCTTTGAAGTAAGGCTGCAAAAAGCACGTCTGCCATCTGCAGTTTGGATCGAGAGTCGAGACCAAAGACGTTAAAAGGCTCACCTCTGATGCACATGAGGCTCGCCGCCCTCCTGTGGTAACGCTCTTGACAAGTTTGCTGTGGCTAAATGCTGGCACGCTGATGCGAGGATTTGCGGCATCTACTGGCAGATGTTAATCTCTGTCTTGAAACGGCAGCCGATGGCAAGTTTGGCAAATTTTCCAAAAGTATTTCACATTTCAGAGCATGTTGGCTTTCTTGGACGTTGATCCAAACAGCATGCGGAAGGAATTTTGTTTTTCCATGCAGTTTTCCAGCTGAAACGGGTTCCAAAAAGCAGCTCTAGTCCGGGCACCCCGATTTTGGCTTTCTTCGTTGACATACAAGCTCACGCAATTCGGGGCCCCAGATTAGAGCTCAGATTTGGGAGCCATTTTGGGGGCCCAGTTATGCCGTGTTTTCGTCGAGCAGATGCCACATCTGCGTGCACAGCTGGCCGTTGCGTGCAACAGTAAATAAATCTCGCCAGCTCTGTTTTGCATTTTGCCGGTGTTCCTTCAAAACTCAAAATAACAAGTGGGCGGAGCTGACGACAGACAACGTGGCATGCTCGAGTGCTTGTTCACAAAACGGAGTTGATCCGCTGTGTGCGGGTTTTTGCATCAAAACAGCAAGATAAATGCTGGGCTTGTGTGCGGTAGAGTTCGTATCATTTGGAATTTGGAGTGTTATGGGAGATGGCTGGTTGCAAAATTCATCTTAAATTGGTTGGTTGCCCAAGGCTGCAGCTCGCCGCAAGTTCTGGATGCGCGGCAGAATCGAACAACTGAGCAGTCACGATGTGCCGTGCACTTTGCATGTTGTGTGCACCGCCTCGTGTGATGTGACCACACAACAGTTCATTTGTGATTTGCAAGCAACGTGTTTCTCTTTGGAGCCATCATGCCTTATGGGTGTTTAAGAAACTTGACAGATTCGAGTTGTGGGGTTTCGTGGCTTGAGACCCAACAGAACAACCACTTGCGCGCCAAGCTTAGACTACTCCGTGTGCGAACATGCTTTACATGTGACGTTGAGTCATGGTTCAGCAGTCTTGGTTTGCGTGGTGTTGAAGCCCGACCCAGAATGGCTGTATACAGTGAGCCGTGATGGTGTTGGCGATTCATGCATGTCCCAATTGCGATACTGCCACCTGCCGCCCACATGTTTCGATCTACCGTGAAGGCCTTCCCATACCACAACACCGATCAATGGATGTAGCTTCGGCCGTCGGTCCAAAAATACATACAAGTTCATTTGATGGCTACTCAGCCGTTCTCCCCGTGTTTCCTGCAATGCCCCAACTCCCGAGCTCCATACCATGCATATTAGTTCTGTGCCGAAGCTGACACCACGTGGTGATGACGACGTGCCATTCATCGCCCCAGCACGACTTCGAGGCAGATCGGGTTAAAGAACGTAATTATGACGTGAAACCACATCTTCGGTTTGCCTGTTGCTATCCTAAGTTCTGTGCGTGTTTTCGCAGAAGAACGTATGTGCGTTCACAGCAAAATCGTTCATGCTGTTCAAACTTCAAGAGGTTGGCAACCCAAAGTTTCCTACCAATTGAACCTTTTGAAGCCGTGAAGTATCTGAAAGCCTACCAGCCCCGAACCTTTGAAGTCTTAAACCCACCATTGAAATTCGATCAAAATCTGATTCAAATCTCAACCCCAAATCTTGCTCCAGGCAAGCGATGGCAGTTCTCGGCCTGCTACTGGCCGCCGGGGCCATGGAAGCCCTTGCCAAGGAGGGCACTGCCGACGGTTTAGGGCTTTAGGTTTCAAGGATTAGGGTTTTTGAGTTTAGGGTTTAGGTTGTATGAACCCCAAGAAAGGAGATACTCACTCAGAGGATGATGCATGTCTTCATATATAAAGAAAAACAAGGTTTTTGTATGTTGTTTTACGTTCATATATGTTTGTATGTGCTTTTCTATGTTTATATATGTTTATATATGTTTATATATGTTTGTATATGTTTGTATATGTTTGTATATGTGTTTATATGTTCATATTTGTTCATATATGTTTATATGTGTTTGTATATGTGTTTATGTGTGTTCATATGTGTTTACATATGTTTTTACGTGTGTTTATATGTTTATATGTGTTTACATACTGAGGGGATTGCTTCTGAACTTTCTGAACTCAACAGTTCCGATGTTGTCTCGCAGCCGCTGCAGATCATGGTGCCTGCGGGATGCTGCAATCACAGGGTTTTCTCCTGTGGTCGACGGGCAGGCCAAGCGCCTTCTTGCGCCCAAGCTGTAGGCCCAGCTCTGCAAGGAGTCTTGTGGCTATGTGCGCAGAGAAGGATGGTGACGGAGATGGCCCGCCACACATGCTGATTGTCGGTGCAGGTTGCACCGGTGCCTTGATTGCTGCATTGGTTCCTAGAGAAGCAGCAAGACGTGGGAGGCCTCGGCCGCGCATTTCGGTCTGGGAGTGGGGTCGGGGCCCCGCAGGCCGAATGACGAGTTTCTGGGCAGATGTGGCAGGGGAGCGCGTGGTCGCAGACGTCGGGGCTCAGGTCATTTCTCTGCGAGATCCACAACGACTGCCCGAATGGATGGAGCCCTATGTGATGGCAGCCGACGGCCTCGGCCTCTCAGCCACGGAGGAAAGGGAGCCTTCTTGGTATCATTTCTGTGCACCCGGTGGTCTTCCGAGCTTACAGCGGGCTTCGCTGCAAGAAGCTCAGCCTGACGAACTGTGCTTTAACCGCCGGGTTGTTGAACTTACGGCTTCAGGCGGTGAGTGGCAGGCGGGTTTTGCTGGAGAGCGGGGCGGGCGGCGGCCAGTTGGGTCGCAAGCATTCTCCGTCGTGATCTTCGCGGGTACTGCATCCGACGCAGGCAATTTGGAGGGTCTCCGGTCTGCACTGTCCCCGCACCAGCTGCGCGCACTGAATGGGGTCAGATATGACCACCGTCTCTGCTTGGCATTGAACCTTGGCCGAGGCCACATTTGTCAAGTTTGGACTTGCTGTCCGAGACAACACCACAATCTTGTCTGAAACCAACTCTCTGTCAGATCCCAATTCCGATGCTTTAAGGATCTTGAAGCCGCAGATGGCTGAGCATCTGGAGGCTCTCTGCCAAGGGAGGGCCGAACTGCTCCTCGAGGGCGTGCTGCCCGTGCGCTTGGTGGCGCGGCAGGAGGCAGGTGCTTCCGAGGATTTTGCAGGTTAAGGAGCCGCTGTTCGAATCATCACTGTCCTTCAGCTTACATTCCTAGCCATTCCCTTCAAACACCTGAGTTTGAATATCAAGGGTCTCATATTCGGTACGGAGGTCCGGTCGCAGGTCTAGGGTCTTTGCATGCCAGGTCAAAGGACGCGACGGACCCAAAGGCGGCTGTGCCGCGACTGGGCTTGAAATGATGCAATTACTGCAACAGAAATAACCAGATGAGAAAAATCGCTTGTTATACAACTCGCATGATGTTACAAATGGCACGAAAAACATCAAAGTGAGCAGTTATCCTAATCATCGGCATCGTTTTCGTTTCTTCTTGTTGTTCTTCTTCTTGTCACACCCCTTCCCCATCCCGCCATGCTCATCATCATCCTCATCATAAGAGCCGTCACCTTCACCATGTTCGTCCTCGTCATCATCATCGTCCTCTTCTTCGTCGTCGTCAGTGTTATCAGCATCGTCGTGGCCATTGTCATGATGACTCGGATGTCCTGTCGGCTTTCATGAGTGCTCTCCCCACCGTAACAGCTCTCGCGCTCGGAGGTGGTCCTCCACAGCACCCCGACCTTCGCCGCCGAAAACCTGCAGCAGGCCAAGAGGCAGAACACATCGCCAGCAGTGCTGGGAAGGCCCGGCCCAAGGAATTCATGAGCTGCCCCCACCGCGTAATCGGCAGTTTAGATGCTGATCTCGATAGCTTCCTCTCTGTCGCAAGAACCGTCTGACCTCCTTCAACCTTACGCGCTAAGCACTAAACTCTAAACCCTTAACCCTTAACCTTAAGCCCTGAGCTTGTCAGGCAAGCCTTGAGCAAGTGCTTGGCCGAGCTGTTGAACATGGCCCTACCGAAGCTTGAGGCCCGATCTTTTCATGAAAGCATTTGTAGGGGTTCGGGGTTCTAGGGCTTAGGTTCTTTTTCGACAGGATTCCTTAAGGGTTCTATAGAGGTTTCAGTGGTGATCCCTGTGCTTCACAGAATCCTCTGTCCCTCCTGAATGAGGCCAGCTAGAACTCTTAAGGGACCAAGAAAGCATGCAGGCAATCACAAAACAGACGCTGTTTAATCCTCCCTCCTTGTTGGGGAGGTTGCTTCACAAGTTCCGTTATTTGCCTTTCTTGCCACGACTGACCACCATCCCATATCCTAAACATGGTGGAAACTGTTCTTGTATTTTGTTATGCTCATGCGCACATCCTCCTGCTCACCATCGTCAGCGCAGTCATCATCATCATCATCATCATCACCATCATGTCAATGTAAGCTTCGTGTAGTTGACGTAGTACCGCGACGATCATGACGAACTGTAGGACTGTCATTTTTGGGATAGGTTTCGATCTTCTACGAAGCCTGTTTGCTCCAGGCATTAGGCAGCGGATTCTCTACGTCGTCGAGCTTTCGTGATGCCTAAGAAGAGCTAATCCGTCAACACGAAGCCGGAAAGACCCGACCTCCAGCGTAGATTTGCGAGGATGTTTCACGCCACAATGTTCGTAGACTATATTGGGTAGTTCGACATCAGGGGGTCCTTTTTTATGAGTGTGCTGTACTATGTTTGGGGCCGAGAGTTTTGAAAGGGGGACCCTGGCTTCAAGAACTACCCATATAGTTATGGTAGACAGCTTTAATGCTACTGGAACCAAGGCGGACGTTACTGAGCTGAAGAGTCCAAACCCGCAAGCTCTCCGTCGCCGTCGCCCAGGCATCCGTTTTGGAGAGCAAGGTTGTGCACTGGCCACTTGGCCTCCAGAGTTCAGGAGTGTAGGGTTCAGGGCCCAGGGGTTTGAGATTTCGGATTTAGGCCGTTCTCGGGTTGCGGGTTTTGGGTTCCTTAGTCCCCGACAGGTAGAGTCTTAGACAGGCCCGGTAAGCCCTAGAACGGGGACCCTACTCTGGAACTCTACACTACCCTTTGAAGGGGAACCCATTAGTACTACCCCTGTAAGGAGCTAAGCCCATCCCACACAAGGCGGCAATGCCAAGTGCGGAAACCCCTGGTCTTGGACGCGCGGTCTGAGGCAGCGAGTGGTGTTCTGGGGGGGATCTCCTGCTACTTGGAGGGTCGGGGGACCTAGTAAGTAGGTAGTAAGTAGACGTATAAGTACCCTAAAAGGGAACCTAATTGGGGTTATGGTACTTATAAGTCAAGAAAATAACTGCTTACTAAGTCCCCCGCCCCTCCAAGTATAGGGGCTTCAACCAATGCTTGGCATTCTTCTGGTTGGCTCTGAGGACTTTGAACTTTTTGGGTTTCTCTATGAACTATAATAAAGGGGACTAAAAGTTTAACTTTTTGGAGGGGTGCAGAAGTCAGCCAAGATTAGCTAAACTAGTTTGGGGGGTTCCCCATTATATTTATAGTATGATGCGCCCCAAGACCCTATTCTAATTGTTAAGGCGCTATATCTCTCGGAGGACCATGGGACCTAGTACGCAAAGTTGCAGCTACCTTAGCTGGCGCCATAAGGTAATAGAAGTACAGTTGCCAGGGGATCTCTCTGCATCTCAGCCTTTGCCTTGAGCTTCAATAGTGCTTCATCCTTAAGGACGAAGTGAACCCTAAAAGGGTTTAAGGTTCATACACCACTATAGGGATTCATAGTATATGGGTATAGGGCCCCTACTTTTAAGGGTCATTGGGTCCTTCAGGATTTGCAGTTGAAGAACGGGCTGTCGGGCTGCTTGTGGTCAAGAAGGGCAGTGAAAGTCCTTCACCATGCGAAGTGATTTGAAGAATCAGTAGTTTGTAATAATAGTAATAATAGTAATAATAGTAATAATAGTAATAATAGTAATAATAGTAATAATAGTAATAATAGTAATAATAGTAATAATAGTAATAATAGTAATAATAGTAATAATAGTTATAATAGTTATAATAGTAATAATAATAATAATAGTAATAATAATAATATAGTAATAATAATAATAGTAGTAATAGTAATAATAGTAATAATAGTAATAATAGTAATAGTAATAGTAATAATAGTAATAATAGTAATAATAGTAATAATAGTAATAATAGTAATAATAGTAATAATAGTAATAATAGTAATAATAGTAATAATAGTAATAATAGTAATAATAGTAATAATAGTAATAATAGTAAAGGAAACAGGTCAGCGCCAGTCATGGCTTCGATTTGGGTGGTTGTCGAAATTATGGTCCCTTTTTGGGTACCATAAATATTAGGTGGCGTACTACAATAGGGACCCAAAGAGGGACCATAATTTCGACAACCACCCATTTAAGCCTTGAAATGCTGTTAATTGCTGAGAGCTTTCCCTCATGCCTCACAGGCCTGCCTCGTGGCTGAGGGTGCACCGAATCCTGGCAGAGGGAAGTTACCAAGGTGGTGTCAGTCAGACCTACGGGGGTGGGCTGTTGCTTTGCCGGTTTTTTGAACACGGCATATCCGAGCACGTCGTTTTGTCCAGCTTATCTGGAGATTTCTTGAAATCGTGATCCCTTCTCGCCATCGCAAGTGATCCCTTAAGCCGTCGTCGGAGTTTGCTTACGCTAACTGACGACTGCCGTGCAGGAGTGCAGCGACTGTGTCGCACGCTAAACCCCCTAAGCCGAAACCCTAAACGGGAGTTTCCGAAAATGGGGGACCCTAATATAGTACCCTGAATAGTAGGATCCTTATGAGAAGGAACCCTAAGGCACCCCTTATTTTCGGAAACTCTAAACCCTTATAGAGCCCTTTATAAAGGAACCCTTATGGTACCCTTATAGTAGCCCTTTATAGGAACCTTAAGGTACCCCTTATTTTCGGAAACTCTAAACCCTTATAGAGCCCCTTAAAGGAACCAGTATGGTACCCTTATAGTAGCCCTTTATAGGAACCCTACAGGTACCTCTTATTTTCGGAAGCTACCCCAAACCGTAAGCCTTGACGTTTTCAGGAGCCTGATCCTTGCTGGCGATTATCTGGCCGGCGACACCGCTGGGTCTTTTGAGGCCAGGCCAGGCACTCAAGCTGTGATTGCTATTCTTATTGTTGTTGTGCTTTTTTTATGGTTATTATTATCATGAGTCTAAGAATGACTTTTTTTGTTACTCTTCTTCTTAGTATTGTTGTTTTCGCATTGTTAAGAGTATTATTACACCCTACAAGAATGGGTGGCAAAACCCTGGGTGCAAGTCCCAAAGCCTCGAGTCTTTGAGGCCCCTTGGGCGCCAGAAGCCCTGAGAGCAATGAAGGCCCCTTCAGTCCTAAGGGAGGGGCTTAGGTTTTAGGGTTTAGGGTTCGGGGTGTCGGGTTAAGGGTTCAGGGCTTCGGGTTTAGGGTTCAGGGTTTTGAGTGTTTCTGGGACTCGAAATCTTTCCACGAAACCGGCAACCAAGCCCCTCAAACCCTTGCAAGCATGAAAACCCGTGCTATTGCCCAGTACATCACAAGAAACACACCATCATTACCACCACCTTCACCACCACCACCACTGCGTAGCAGAGGAGGCGAGGGAGGAGGGGGAAGGAGGAGGTGGAGGTGGAGGCGGAGGCGGAGGCAGAGGAGGAGGAGGAGGAGAAGGAGGAAGAGGAGGAGCATGTTGGAGGAGGAGTGGTGGAAGGACTGCTGCTGCAGGCCTCGTAGCAAGGATTAAGGCAGCTTTGATATGGGTGGGGATGATGATGTTGTTGAAGACGGTGGGAACCAGATATGTGTAAGCGGCAAACCAGACCTGCTAGCAATGACTTAAACCCTAAACCCCGGAACAGTAAACCCTAAACCCTAGATGGGTAGTCGTCAAAATTATGGCCCCTTTTTGGGTACCTTACATCATCGGTGCCGTATTATATTAGGGACCCTAACTTCTTCTGCGTCGCCAGGGGTGCCTCGACTCCGCAGAGGCCGCTGCAGCGGCCGCCCTGGAGGCGTTGCCTTTCCAGGCACCTGGGGAGTGATTCAGACGGTTTAGGGTATAGGTTTTAGGGTTTGGGGTTTAAGGAAACCCTAAACCCTAAACTAAACCGTTGGGAGGGTGCTTGGGGGGGTTCAATCTTGGTTTTGGACTGCTGGGTTCGTGTGCACGTTGCCCGGCGTCCTTGAACAACTCCGCAAGGGTTCGGGGAACATTGTGGGGTTGCTGCAGGTGTACTCCTCTGTTGGTTCTGCCGCTGTTGATGCTGCTACTCGTACTACTAACTGCTACCGTCCTGGTACTAGGTACTCACTCTAGTACGACAACAACAACAACTACTACTACTTCTACTACTACTACTACTATTTTTCAATTGAACGCTGCGCGAGCGTGCTCTGCGCTTTGCGGGCGCCATTGGTCTCATGCACTCGTGAAACTGCTTCTAGCATGCATCGCTCAGGTCTCTCTAATCAGCTCGAACTTGACAAACTACTTCAACTGCTACTGCTACAAAAAGCTTCCTTCTCCGACACCTTGGCGTGAACAGACGCGTCCATCTGTGCACCTGTCACAACAAAATAGGCCGTACCTCAGATGAAGCCGCCACCCGGAGTATCCGTCTCGTGGCGTCCCACACGGATTACTCTTGTTGAAGACAGAAGGCCGTAAGGGTCATGTGCGGATGACCGCTGGTACCTGAGGCAATTTCGGTGTCGTGAGTCTTTGGGCAGCTTCGATGCTGGCAATTTGCTGAAGCGCAAAGTGCTGTTTTAAGCGAGGCTAGCACGCGATTCGCATTCTTCCGAAGAGATGTGCTAGGCGTCGGAAGAGTACCGAATTCCCTGAGTCTGTGACATAAGGGATCATAGAGTCTGTGACATATTATCGCCCTCACTGGTCATGACCTTTTGGCCACTGCTGAGAGTATCCGTGCCAGGACCACTGCTGCCACCAGTCCCAGTCGTCGTCCTGAGATGAGCGTGCCTGTCTGGCCCACTGGGACGAGGAGGATGAGGAGGGGCCATCGCGCTGCCGCTTGCCCTCTGTGTCTGCCTCCTGCATCTGTGGGCGCTTGTGAGTTGCAGCAGCAGCCAGCTTGGCCATGCGCTTGTCCTCTTCGTTCCCTTTGTCATGCTGTATCCGCATCTTCATGATGGAGTAGGCATTTTTGTCGGGTTTGACCCGGAAGACACGAGCTGGGAGTCCAGCTGATTTTGCAGTCTCGTTGTAGACTGCCACTATGGTGGTGGCAATCATATTGAATTCGACCCACGAGGGGAAGTGTTGCTGAAAAGCCTTTTCGTCCCACATCTTGTTAAAGCAGGCATGGATAAGGCCATGCACTTTTGTTGGCGCGTCCAGCTCGCGGTAGGCATCGCCCGCGCCTGTGGCGATGGTGACCTTCCCATCGCTTGTGAGGACTCGCCTCACCGACATGGCGGTGTCCCATGTGAGGCCGGTTTGCGTTCTGACGGACTTGATGGCAGAGAACAGCGGCGGAACTTCTCGGAGTGCTTCCATCCTGGTAGACCAAAGGGTCTGTTGTTCCTGGTTGGTGAGGCCGCCAAGAATGACCGGGGCCACCAGGATGGCTAGTTGTGAGTTTGTGTTTTTGATTCAACTGTGTTTTCTTATCTGTGTCGAAACCTTTAAACGCTCCGCACTGTTTCGGCACAAGCACTCACAACTAGTGTTCGCTTTTCTCGCATCGCATGCGTAAGAAATTTTCAATAACCTACGCTCTTTCAGGTTTGCTACGCATTGCATGGCAGTTTTCCGCCATATCGACGCCATGGATCCGCCCGAGGCAGCCACCTCGGACCAATTGGTCCGCGCACTGCAAAGCCTCGCAGAAGATTGCATTGACATGGGCGCAACGATTCATGAGCGCATAGACGCACTCTCTGACCGCATTCAGGCGGTCATTGCAAAGCTCGGCAGCCTGGAACGCCGCATTGCAATACTTGAAGGCGCACCGCAATGCACAGACACTGTTGATTCTCCGCTAGAAGAGATGGATTAGCAAGCACTGCACATGCGCAGCCTTTACAGCTTTTCAGTCTCCTTTTTTGCATTCCGTTCCCTGCCATGTCACAGCGCGTGGGGAACAAGAAGCAACGCACCGCCAAGGCGATAGAACGATCGCCTGAGCCATCGCACAGCCATAGGGCAAGAGTCGAAGAATGGCTCGCAGAGTGCATGGCAATGCCGTCTAGTGAGGTTAGCACCCCACCTGTTTTCCCCAACCTTGTGGAATTGTTTATATCGCCTCGCACAGCCAGTTTTGTCTTCAGTAGCCTTACTTGGAATGATCGCAACGCATTTAGCATTTGTAATCTCTCAGCAAACCGCCGAGCTGCCCTACTCTGGAACCTTAACTAACCAGGCTCCGCCTAGCCCCGTCAATAATCCCCGCTGGCAGCTTTTATTGACGCCATGTCGCACCGCCAAGGCAATAAAAAGCAACGCATTGCTGCTCCAGAGCCGCGGCCCGCCAACCACAGCACCGCAATTCTGGTCGAGGCACTGCTGCATCTGAGCAGTGAGTCTCCAGGCACTGCAGAATACATTTCGGGCAGTTTGCCAGAAGTCTTTCTTTCGCAACGCTCTGCAAGCATTTTGCTCCGCTTTCTCGAGATGCCAGCTAGGCGAGAGCTTTCCTTCATGCATAGCACAGTGCACCGCAGAATGTCAGGAATGTGGGATCTCACGCCTGGAGACCGAAGGATCTTAATCACAAACCTTCACAGCACATTGGCACTGCAGTATCTTCGTGACCGCACAGCACAGCATGGCATCCCTGGCGACAGATGATGATGCATCGAACTGGTTGGCAGTTGGTTGGCACAAACGCAAAGCCCTGCATTTTTTCTTCGGTGTTTGGCATTGCGCTGTCAACCCCGCACAGCTCACGCACTGGCAAGCACAGGATTCATTGAGTATGGCATCGCTTTTTTCTGCAGGCCCTGCACAGATTGCCCCAGGCATCGTGTGCCTGGGCCCGCAACGCACTCGCAATGAAGTGCGCCGCGTTGAAGTGCTTAGCGCTTGGCGGTCCGCCCGAGCAAAGCTCTTGCAACGCATTATTGGAAATTGGCATAGCAGCGTTTTATGGCAACAGCATTGCAGATATGTTTCAGCCTTGGCACACTGCCCTGCACCACATGAACCAGAAGTTGAGCCTAGCACAGAGCCTCGCACATCTCTGTGTTGCGTCGCAGATGACCTCCGCGCTTGGTTCAATATTATCGCACGGCTAGATCACTACGGCATTCGCAATGTTCTGGTCACTGATCGCCTTATTTGGCATCGCACTCGCATTGCTCAGCAACGACCAAATTTTCTATTTATCAACGGCCGCCCTGCACTTGTTTGGCGGCGTGGGCATACCTTGCCTGTTATCATATGCATAAGCCACCCTAGCACAGAATCAGCAACATGTGATCGTGCTTTGGTAGATTTCCTTTAGCACGGCACATACGCATTGCTTTTTGCACAGAGACGCAACGCACAAAAGCCTTGAAAAAACAGCAAGCTTTGCATGTTTTCTCGAGTTTTCTCTGCAAGCCGCAAAGCGCTCTTTCAGCTTGCTTTGCACGCTTGCACTTACAGCGACAGGTCAGCCGCGCCGCACCTCGAGGCCAGCCGTCTGGACTTCTCTTCGGGTTGCCTTACACCCGCTTCGTTCTGCATTGCTTGGCTCGCCTAGCCTCGCATCGCTTTGTCAGGTCAGCCGCGCTGCACCCTTAGGCCAGTCCTGCTGGTCTTTCTTTGGTACCTGCCGCGCCTGGCAGGCCACATTACAGCTTCAGCCCAGCACGGGCCCCAGAGAAGCCGCTTCTCGTCTTTTTTCGCTCTGCCTTTTGCCCCGAAGGCTCCTTTTTTGCCTGGCCACGCAGTGCCCAGCTCAGCAACGCTTTAGCAAGGCCTAGATTGCTATTTGCAGTTTCTCTCTGCCTCGCAAAGGTCACTACTACAACCTCGACTCGGAACCTCAGTCGTTTGCACCAAGCCTTTTCTTCTCTGCAACCCCTAAGCCCCGCCTAGCCCAAGCATGCTCTGCTCAGGTCCTGGATTTCTACTACATCGCCCCGCGAGGACAGCTCAAGCCCTGCATCTGCATCGTGTCGCACTGGTTTCTTGGCCTAGGTGTTGCCTCGCACAGCACAAAGACACATGATGTTGCATAGCCTTTTGTTCAAGCATTCTTGCTCCTGCATTGCACTGCACTGCCTTTCGCACTTGCCTCGCCTCGCATCGCACAGCAAGGCATGGCCGGGACGAGCACAGCCCTGCAGGCCCTGTTGCAGGCGTCGCGTGAGCAACGCATCGGCGCTTTTCGGCAGCTCGGCTATGCCCGCATTGATGCTTTGCAAAGCGAGCTCAGCGAAGCCCGCCTGACCATTTTTGGTCCAGCAGAGCATAGCACTGCACCGCAAAGCGCCGCAGCAGCCGCATCAGCAGCACCGCCCCCCACAGCCACTGTCACAGCCAAGGCACCCCCCGGGTCAGGGCCCCCAGCAAAGCATCAAGCACAGCCTCCCCCCCCAGCACAGCAAGCACAACCCGCACCGCCACCCCAGCCCACACCACCGGCATCGCCCCGCACTACGCCTCGCAGAGAGCGGGATCACACGCCGCGCCGCAACCGCACACCGCCCCGCCCCAGATGGAGCGACGTGGAAGATGACTGGGGGTCGTCTGTTCCCAGCACTGCAATGCCCTCGTCACCGCATTTCGGGCAAATGGGGGGGGCCCCGGATTTCGGCAAAGGCTGGGGGAAACAGGAATGGGGCCCCCCCCCGCATGCACCGCCCTTTGCACAGCATATGGCATATGCCCCTCTCACAACAGCCCCACCGCCCTGGCAAACGCAACCCGCACCGCAACAGTGGCACCCTGCACAGCCCTGCCCGGCTGGTTGGGGGTACCCGCCCCCGCCACCACCACACGCAACGCAACGCCCTGCCTCGCGCCGCGTCGCAGTGTCCCCGCACATCCACTGTGAGGTGAAGTGGTATACCTCTC